GCTGACAGAGGAGTTTGGTGCTGAGCACAGCCTTACAAAGTTGTCTTTCTTTTGCCCAAGGACATAGCATTTCTAAGTTAGTAACTTTCACATAAGGAACTAAGCCACTGAAACTGCATCCAGTCATCAAAGGTTCATGCTTTACCTTTGATGAAAAAAGCATGACCATTTTTAAATTATAACAAAATCCGTAGGAAGTAATCGGTTGTCTTGTTTCCTATATTGTTGTTTAATTGCTAAGTTGCGTCAGACTCTTTGCGACCCCAGGGACTGCAGCCCACCAGGCTCTTCTCTCTATGGGATTTTCCAGGCCAGAATACTGGAGTGGGTTGCCATTTCCTCCTCCTGGGGATCTTTCTCGCCCAGAGATTGAACCTGCATCTCCTGAATTGGCAGATGGATTCTTTACTGGTGAGCCTGGGAAGTCACCTTTTGTTTCCTAAATAGATGCTAAAGCTTGGTCATAAATGTATAAGTTGAAGAGTAAAATTCCCTTTCTGCTAAACTCTTTATGGTTTAAAATACCTAAATAATTAGATTAACTCTCATTTAGCTATGTCTCTCATCAAGCTAGCTCTGTTAATTCTATGATCTTGTTTCTTGCGATCTACAAACACGTTCCTTATGGGGAATTGTGTAATTGTTTCTGCCAGCCCTATTTACATAGTCAATATAAAAATGTGTTTCAGGGCACAGGTTATAACCATGAATCCAAACTCCATCACATACATCCGAGTGATGCTGCGCAAGCGACGCGTGTGTCTGCATCTTAGCTTCCTCTGCTATGAAGTGGGGCTACTGATAGCACTTCACGGGGTCTAGTGAGAATTAACGTGAGTTCTGTTTGGTGAGCACTTCAGAACAATGCCTGGTGTGTGTAGGTCACTTATTACAACACAGTTGATAAATATATTTACTTGGGTCATCTTTCTATTACCAGAAACTCTTGTACAGATGGATAATTGCTCCCTCTGGCTATGAGTTAAGAGTCTCTCTAGTGGATTATGTTAGGAGAGGATAAAATGATATATTTGCATCTCCATCAGCTCTCAGTCAAGTCTTTAGGCTGTCTTTCTATTTGCTTCTTTTCTTGTCTTCGTTGTCGCTCAGTCGCTCAGTCATGTCTGACTCTTTGTGACCCCATGGATTGCAGCATGCCAGGCTTCCCTGTGCTTCACCATCTCCCAGAGCTTGCTCAAACTCACATCCACTGAGTTTGATGCCATCCAACCATTTCATCCTCTGCTATTCTTCTCTTTAGTATCCGTCTTGTTTACTCACCAGTTCATAGGCTTTGGATTGGCTGTTCTACACTGTTTTGTCTAAATTTTGATATTCAAATTGTGAAGGTTTAACTATCATTTCTGTACTTGTCACACACACACAGCACACACCAAGCTCTCTTCACATCTGTTATCTCGAGAAGCTGACACCTCAGCACAGTCACCACCATCTCACAGCTGAAGAAAACGAGACTGAGCGCAGAAAGAATCCTGCCCAAGGTCACAAACCTCAAAGTAGCTGACTTGAGACACAACTCAAGCTTTGCGGCGCCCAATTTCACGTGTGCCAAGGACACGCTTTGTTGTGCTGACACTCCTGAAGAGCGACAGCCTTTCCTGGTGTCATATGTCATGGAGTCCTTGTGGGTGTTTCATTTCCACTCTCATCATCTTGAGAGAGTCTGCCTCTCAACCTACCAGCAGGATCCGTGGGGTGTCTAGGGTAGACACCCGTAGGGGTCATACTGTTCCTCTGCTGAGGTGGGTCTGGCTCCTTGCTGAGGGCGCTTCCAGACTACGGCCACTGAGGAAGATGACTGCCAAGCCCTGACGATGAGAATGCTGGGGGCCTTGGCCAGCCACAAGGAGACTGCAGATAGCTCAGATCCTCAATTATGGGGTGGTGAGGGAGATTCAGAAAGGGCAGGTACCATCATTGTGTCTCATCACTCATGCATCTTGTAAAAATGGGGGGCTTTATGTTTGCTGATTGATGGGTATGAAATATACACATGAAAACATTGCACAGGATGCTTTCAAAAGAAACAACTCTCCTGGTTGTTGTCATTCAACTAAGCTTGATCATCTTCAGGGCTATGAAGTCTGTGTCTCTGGGGGAGCACAGACCGCCCCCCCTCTTCAGGAGTGATCTCCACCTCCCGTGCCCATGGCATCATGAATCCTACGGATAACATTCAGATTCTCTGCATGGGGAAAATAAATAAGATTCCCTAGTCTTATGAGAAGAAGACAGTAGGATGATGATCCTGGAGGAAGAATGTGTTAAAACTTCACTGAAAGGCAGGGTAGGTAGAGGACACACAAGGTTTTGTCATGTCTGGGGAAATTTAACTGGAGAAAACTATTCTGCTTCATGGGCCTCTAGCCCTTGGTTATCACTAGCAACCTCAGGATCCTTGTATTTTCACGATTCCTTGGGTCCAGTCATTCTCCCCACCTGTTTCATCTCTCCTGGGGGTTTCCAATGTGAGAACCAAGCTAAGACCTCCACTGACTATAGAGCCCTCTCATCAGCCACAACTTCATCCAACCCAGAAGTTTCCGGGTTTAGCAAAGAAACATACAGGATGCCCAATTAAACCTGAATTTTAGACAAACAAGTTTTTAGTGTAAGTATGCCCCATACAATATTCAGGACATGGTTATACTAAAATGTGTCTGTATATTTGATCTTTAAATTCACGGTTGCTGGGGGGGAGTGGTGGGGAAGGGATAGCTAGGGACTTTGGGAAGGTCATGTACACACTGCTCTATTTAAAATGGATAACCAACAAAGACCTACTGTATAGCACATGGAATTCTGCTGAATGTTATATGCCAGTCTGGATGGGCGGGGTGTTTGAGGGAGAATGGATGCATGTATATGTATAGCTGAGACCCTTCACTGTTGACCTGAAACTACCACAACATTGTTAATTGGCATACCCCAATGCAAAATGTTTTTGCTATTAAAAAAAAAAAATTGCATGGCCTGTCTGTTGCCTGGCAGCCCTAGACCCACCCACTATCTTTCTAGCCCCTCCCCCTCCTCCTCCTCAAGCAGCCATATTCTCCCAGTCCCATCCCCAGAAGGGAACAGGCTTTTGGAAATAGGGAGCAGGCAGGGATGGTCTCCTCAGACAACATGGACCTGAAGCTCAATCTTCCCCTGGAATTACAGATGGTGGAGGGGGAGGGAAAAAAAAAGCCAAACAGTAACTAATAACTTACTATATGATCCTCCCACCTCTGCTTCCTTATCTGTTGTTGTTCAGTCACTAAGTCACATCTGACTCTTGGCACTCTAATGAACTGCAGCATGCCAGGCTCCCCTGTCCTCCACTATCTCCCANGAATCACAATGGATCTATATTATCATTGCAAAAATTTAATGCAAACAACTGTGAACAGATTGCTTTTAAAGGAGTTTCCCAAACTTTATGCTCTTTCCCCTTTTTGCTCTTCTCCAAGATGCCAAAAAAGATAAAACAATGTATTCTTCTTCCTGAAGATTCATCATTGAGAAAGAAGAAATCACATATCTAGATCTTCACCCTTCACTACAATGAAGGACCTGCCTGCAGGGAGTGAGTCACAACACTGTTGTTCCAACGCTAAAATGTGCATTTTTATATTAAAATCGCACACTACATGTCTATTACAAACATCAGAAGATTTACCTGGCCTTGCCCTTCCTACCTTAGCAAAGAAGAAGAGGTTCCATTCTTTGAAAACTCAGTTGTCCTGGATTTTCCTATGATCTCTCCTACAGAAAAGACACTTCCCTTGGAACACACTGACTTCTCCTGCCCGGTCATGTTCTATTCCTGGTTGGTTTCAACTCGGAATGACTGTATCCTCAGGAAAATGGGTAAGTCAGAGGAGGGCAGGGATGATTCTCCAAAAGAACGTGAGCAGCCGAGAGCTAGATCTTGGAGCACCTGGCGCTGGGAATGGTGTGGGAAGGAGAACCCTGCTGAATCAGAAACATACCCTAAATACCACTTCCTAGACTTGTGTCTCTGGCTTTTGCTTTGTCACTAATTGGCCGGCTCCCTGTGGGTTTTGGATAAAATTCCTCCCTGCAAGTTTGACCGGTCTCATCTTTTCTAAGAAGGATGGAGGGAAGGAGGGCTGCATTTCTCCGGGCGAGCAGTCCTCTCCTAGCACCTGGGTATGACCTTCCCCTCCAATCAGAAGGATGGCCAGAAGCATAGGGAAAGATCCAGGGGGATGGGTGGAGGGGGTGTGGTTCACACAGAGTCCTCTCCCCTCCTGCGGATGGCTGTTCTCACCCTGGGGATTCTCCGGGCTGAAATCTGGGAGGGGTGTGTGTGCGCCAGTTTCCAGACAGAAAGCCGTCCTTTTATACCCCACAGTCTGCCCCTGGGCTAATTATTTACATGCGGTTGTGGGACAGAGCAAGAAATAGTGGATACCCTTCTCAGGGACGAGGCTGGAGGCTGCAACAAATCCCATAAACACTGAATGGGAGCAGAGCAGAGCTCACAGCCTCAGGATGACTTAGAGACTGGCAGCAAAGCAAAGCCTCCCCACGTTCTCCGCCTGCCCTGATGCCTCCTCTGCTCGCCACCCCGCAGCTGATGGAGAGGAAACCACGCCGAAGAGACACGTGTGACGACAGAGGTGGCCTCTGCTCCCCAGCTCTGCCAAGCTGCCTGGGACCAATGACAGCAGCAGGTGAAATCCACCTCCCGGCAGAGGGAGAGGTGAAAATAGCTGGCATCTGCCGCCTGCACCCCGAGGCATCGCCTGGCGGTTTCACAGATGCAGAGGGGTCCTCTGCACCACTGCACAGGTCCCTTCTCATCCAGGGAACCCATCCCTGCCCTTGGAGGGCTGAGGGGTCCAGGAGGGAGGCTTAAGGATGCCAGAGGGATTTCAGTGAAGAATGTGATTTATTTGGGGAGGTGGTGGTGAGAGCAGGAATATTCTCTGGTGCACAACTGAGAGACAAGGAGGGCTGGTCCCGGGAGAAGGGTGGGGCATGTCCCAGGAAGAAGAATGCCCGTGGGAAGTTCTTGAGGTGGAAATGAGACTGGTCTGATGAAGGCACCGCAGAAGAAGGCCTCCTAGGCTGGTTCACCATGTGTCGGATGAAGCGGGATGGGGCATGCGGTGAGGCGAGATCCAGGCAGGTTGGGCCAGGCACAGTCTTAGGAGGTATTTTTTTTTGGATGACTTCACATCTTGATCTTAAATGTCATGGTAAGACACTGAAGGATTTATGCTGGGGAGGGGCAAGCTGATTTCCATAACTGCAAAGTAAATATCCTGTCTGTAGTGAGAAGAAGGGGTTAGAAAGGAGCCAAACAAGAAGTGGGAAGAAGCCAGTTAGAAGGCTGGTCCACAGTGGTCTAGGCAGGTGGTCAAGTCAGCTCAGAGCAGGGACACACAGGGGCCCCTGAAAGTAACTGAACGAATCTGCACTTAAGTTGGAAGGTGGTGGTGTTATTAGTCACTAAGTCATATCTGACTCTTTGTGACCCCATGGACTGCAGCCCTCCGACTCCTCTGTCCATGAGATTTCCCAGTCAAGAACACTGGAGTGGGTTGCCATTTCTTTCTCCAGGGGATCTTTCTGACCCAGAGATCAAACCCATGTCTCCTACGTTGGCAATCAGATCCTTTACCACTGGGCCACATGGGAAGCTCAAGTTGGATAGTCTAGCCCAAGAGGGTAGATTTGCACAAAACGGTTCTTTTCAATCAACATCTGTTATGTGAATTTAATAATGGGCTCTTGGTCTAATCTTCTTTTATTCATCCTGCTCCTAGATTTCTATTTCTAACATTTCAGTCTGATATCACTCTGCCTGCAAGATAATTCTCACATTTCTGAAAACGGTAATTTCTAAAGCCTCAATATTGCCCTCCAACCTGTCTGTCTTTTTTTTTTCCCATCACAGGGGAAACCACGCCAAAGAGACACGTGTGACGACAGAGGTGGCCAAGCCACCATCAGTTATCAGCACTCCCCAAAGGGACCCCTCGCCACCATCACAGAGCATCCATCTCAGTCCACATCTGCCAGGTTCCCATTCCCCTCTACCTATGTGCCTCCATATCCTATTCACCCTTCAAAGTTTGGTGGAAATGCCTAGTCTGTAGCTTCTCGAAGTCCCCACTGTGAGTTCATCACTCTTTCTCCTCTTTTCTCCACCAGCATATTTTCTCAAGAATATATAAACCAAGCTAAATAAGGTGGCAGAAAAAATCCCGTACAATTAGTGTGATGACACATGAAATATAGTTATCAGACTATCTCTTTTATCTGGCTAGTTTGTTGGCAACAGATCAGAAACTGGATGCTTCCATCAACGTTGTTTGGACCAGCATTGGATGAATCCAGGGATGTCTGCTTTCCTAAGGCCATTTTCTAATTGAAAAGGTGCCAGAATCACCGTATTATCCATTGGATTGAGAATCAAGCTATTTGTCATTCTGTTGCCTTGGAAACAGAAAAAAAATTAGCTTTCTTGATCTGCGAGCTTTTCAGAGGGCACAGGTTCACCTTGGGCCCTCTTATGCAAGGCACAGCTATCTTTTATAGGAGTGTGCTTTTACATCCATATATATGCACAGGACTGTTTGATGTTCTGATCTTTCACCANATCTCCCACGTCTTCTGCATTGGCAGGCGAATCCTTTACAGCCTGGTCTACCTGGGAAGCTCGTGTGACCTGGAGGCAGTGTTTAATCAGTGTTCCAGGAGGTGCCCACTGATGTGACTGTGGTCCCTGATGTGAATGTCCCCCTGAGGAGGCCACATGCTAGTTAAATGAGGCTGTTTTGCTCAAGGTGTGACCTCAACACTCTTTTTCTGAACTGCCTCTAGAGTCATTATCAGTCCTCAAGGTCAAATGAGTCTTTATGGCTATAGCGATTCTTTCCACCTGCCAAACTCAAGAGTATGTTCATCTTCTTTCTCTGCTTTTTGGTCAGTCATAAAGTGAGTGTAGATCAGAGGTTCACGTCACTGAGAAAATGTCACAAACCACGAAGGAGTGTGTGCCTGTGTGTGTATAAGCCTATGGTCACATGGCCACGTGTGTGCACATGTATTCATGGCCACAGATTACAAAGTGAAGGAGCCCACTGGTGGAGGCAGCCTGATGGAAGGAAAGCCTTCGTGTGTGAGCATGAGACAGACTGTGAGACCTGACTTGTGACGAATGTCTTTAAAACAAAAATAACAGGGGCCAAGGGGCTGAGGGAAGTTCCATTTGTTAAAGGCTGTCTATGTATGCTGCCCAATACATACATATATATATATTGTGTATATATATATGTACATGTATATATGTATATAT